ATATGTATATGATTTCTGATAAAAAAAAATATTTTTTTGTATGCAGGAACTTAAAGGAATAGGCCTACTTATTTCTTATTTTCTTATTAGTAGTAGTATGATTAGTATCTCATTTTTATAAAAATTCTTGTAATTTATTAAAAAATGGTTTATAATATTAAAATGTTTAATTATTAAATGTATAATTATAATTAAATATATGATTTCAAAATTATTAAATTATATTAAATTCAAATTATTCATTTAAATTTAATTTGAATGATTTACAATAAAAATATTTATTAATCATTTATCTACATCTTAGAATAATAAAGTCATCAAAACTATTGTAAGTATGAGAAGTATGTAGAGGCAAAAAAAAATGTCATTATATATAAAAATGTGTGTTTTTGTGTGTGTATAATATATACTGTATATACAGTGGGTACGGAAAGTATTCAGACCCCCATAACATTTTCACTCTTTGTTATATTGCAGCCATTTGCTAAAATCATTCAAGTTAAGTTTTTTTCCTCATTAATGTACACACAGCACCCCATATTGACAGAAAAACACAGAATTGTTGACATTTTTGCAGATTTATTAAAAAAGAAAAACTGAAATATCACAGCAAAGGGTCTGAATACTTAGGACCATGTGATATTTCAGTTTTTCTTTTTTAATAAATCTGCAAAAATGTCAACAATTCTGTGTTTTTCTGTCAATATGGGGTGCTGTGTGTACATTAATGAGGAAAAAAACTGAACTTAAATGATTTTAGCAAATGGCTGCAATATAACAAAGAGTGAAAAATTTAAAGGGGTCTGAATACTTTCCGTACCCACTGTATATATATATATTAAAAACACTAAATATAACTTAAAAACATAAATATTTTATTTAAAAAATAAGATATTAAAAAAAGAATAACAAGTTGACAGGATATGAAAAATAGCCACAAAAAAAAGGCCCAGCATATATGGGAATGCCTTCAAGATTTTTGGAAAAGCATCCCATGATGCACCTCATGAATTCGTTTGAAATATAAGATGTGATGCTTCCATTAGTGTTAGTATTTCATAGTTTTGATTACTTTATTATTCTAAAATGTAGATAAATTATACAATCAAATTAAATTATAATGATAAAATATAAAAATTTAAATTATAAGTAATTGTATCAATTCTAATATTACTTACAATATTATTAGTTATTGCACACAGTAAAAATACTTTCTCGTTTCTAGACTTAATGGCCAACAAGAAAATCAACATTTATATATATATATATATATATATTTATATATATATATATTATCTTGATTTTTTGACCTGTCACTGTTTGATTGTAAAAGACTGGAATTTTCTATCCTATTCTTCTCAGTTTGACAGCATGTTGAGAAAAGCGCTTGTTTGCACTAGGGTGGAGAGGACCTCCCCCTCTCCTGTGTAAACTTGCCTTTGCTGGCTGCCCTGGAGCTGTGCGCTGTTGGCTGAAGTTCACTAGGTTCAGTGTGATTACTCGTCTCTGCTGGCACCTGTTCAATTCTCTCTCAGGGCAGGATGATTTGAATGCTGACGTACGTGTTACGTCTCATGACATGAGCTCTGCAGGCCCCGGCTTGTAGTGGAGCGGAGGCCTCCGTTTATTGAAGACATGTTTGTTTAGAACAGATCTGTGACAAATTACCCTATACACTCAGCGCAAAGATTGATCAGGCTATTTGCAACCTACTTCTGAAGCCCTGGGAATGGTACATTCTCATGCATCCATGACAGTGCTTTTAAACCAACGTGCAGATGTTTTCATAGAAATACACATGTCATTTGCAGGCTTTTGTCCCCATGTGCTTCATATCAATAACTAGTTGTAAACACTTTCCTGCACATGCTTCTGTGAGTACTGCCTAATAGTGTAGATATTTCCAGTTATAATAATGAAACCGATCATAGCTGTAGGGCTGCATAGTCAGAATGAAACTGAAAATTGCAAAATGGCTTAGTGCGATTTAATCAAATAAATGCATGCATTAGGGTTAGGGTTTTTTTACAGTGAAGTGTGGCACTTTGTTCTCATCCTTCGGTTTTCAGTGTCTCAGAGCGGCTAGGTTCACAGTAAATGCTGCTCCACATGAACTCAATCTCTGCATCTGCTCTGAGTTTTAGTCTCTTTAACATGCATTTGGGAACAAAATGTGCCAACTATCTTCCTATACTTGTAATAAGAAGCACTTATCAACAAAAAAGAAGGGCTCACTGCAGTTTTCTGTCAACATAATTGACAGTTCAATGATTGAATGTTCTTGAAAATAAAGAAATGAAGTCATAAGCCATAAATGTTAGCATTGTAATTTTATGGTTGTAATAAAATAATATAATAAAAATAATAAATTGTTTTTAAACACTCTATTTTTATTTTACAGTGAAATATTACAATAGCAGTAATACATTTCTTATTTTGGCTTTAGTAATTTTATATTTTTATTTAGTTTTTTTTTATTTGTTTTATTATTTATTTCTTTTAAGTTTTTTGTATTTTTATTGTTTTTTTATTAGTAGTAATAATTATAATAAATTATTGTTATTTTTTGTGTGTGTGTGTGTTTTATTATAGTATTATTTTCATTTTATGGTTGTAATATAAAATACAATTATTATTGTTTAATTATTAAAATAAATTAAAAACTCTATTTTTTTTGACCTGTCACTGTTTGATTGTAAAAGACTGGAATTTTCTATCCTATTCTTCTCAGTTTGACAGCATGTTGAGAAAAGCGCTTGTTTGCACTAGGGTGGAGAGGACCTCCCCCTCTCCTGTGTAAACTTGCCTTTGCTGGCTGCCCTGGAGCTGTGCGCTGTTGGCTGAAGTTCACTAGGTTCAGTGTGATTACTCGTCTCTGCTGGCACCTGTTCAATTCTCTCTCAGGGCAGGATGATTTGAATGCTGACGTACGTGTTACGTCTCATGACATGCGCTCTGCAGGCCCCGGCTTGTAGTGGAGCGGAGGCCTCCGTTTATTGAAGACATGTTTGTTTTGAACAGATCTGTGACAAATTACCCTATACACTCAGCGCAAAGATTGATCAGGCTATTTGCAACCTACTTCTGAAGCCCTGGGAATGGTACATTCTCATGCATCCATGACAGTGCTTTTAAACCAACGTGCAGATGTTTTCATAGAAATACACATGTCATTTGCAGGCTTTTGTCCCCATGTGCTTCATATCAATAACTAGTTGTAAACACTTTCCTGCACATGCTTCTGTGAGTACTGCCTAATAGTGTAGATATTTCCAGTTATAATAATGAAACCGATCATAGCTGTAGGGCTGCATAGTCAGAATGAAACTGAAAATTGCAAAATGGCTTAGTGCGATTTAATCAAATAAATGCATGCATTAGGGTTAGGGTTTTTTTACAGTGAAGTGTGGCACTTTGTTCTCATCCTTCGGTTTTCAGTGTCTCAGAGCGGCTAGGTTCACAGTAAATGCTGCTCCACATGAACTCAATCTCTGCATCTGCTCTGAGTTTTAGTCTCTTTAACATGCATTTGGGAACAAAATGTGCCAACTATCTTCCTATACTTGTAATAAGAAGCACTTATCAACAAAAAAGAAGGGCTCACTGCAGTTTTCTGTCAACATAATTGACAGTTCAATGATTGAATGTTCTTGAAAATAAAGAAATGAAGTCATAAGCCATAAATGTTAGCATTGTAATTTTATGGTTGTAATAAAATAATATAATAAAAATAATAAATTGTTTTTAAACACTCTATTTTTATTTTACAGTGAAATATTACAATAGCAGTAATACATTTCTTATTTTGGCTTTAGTAATTTTATATTTTTATTTAGTTTTTTTTTATTTGTTTTATTATTTATTTCTTTTAAGTTTTTTGTATTTTTATTGTTTTTTTATTAGTAGTAATAATTATAATAAATTATTGTTATTTTTTGTGTGTGTGTGTGTTTTATTATAGTATTATTTTCATTTTATGGTTGTAATATAAAATACAATTATTATTGTTTAATTATTAAAATAAATTAAAAACTCTATTTTTTTAATCTTACAGTGAAAAATTAAAATTGGAATATTTCCTTTTTTGGTTTATTTAGTATTTTTAGTATTTTTATTTAGTATATATATATTTTTTAGTTTTTAATGTATTATTATTATAATTATTATTTTATCCGCCATTCTAATTTATAATCACTCATTTTTGGCCAAATTGTGCAGCCCTATAACACGCACAGCAAACCTGGATTTTTTCTAAATTGCAATCACAAATTTATCAGAAAAATTGCAGTTAATTTTTTCCCCCTCAAATTGTGCATCTCTAGCTTTTTGCCTGGTAGGCTTAAACTTATCTAATTTCGCCATCAGCATGAAATCTGGTCCACTTTGCAGCTGATTTGTATCTGTTTGAAAAGAAAAAAAGATGAATGGTGCTTCAGGAGGAGCCATGTTTAGATACCACTCTGCATTGAATCATAAATTCACATCTTTCTTTTGGCAAACAACATCTAACACTTGTTTTGTGTGCTTGTTCTTGCTCTGTTACTAAGACACACCAAGGCAAACCATTATCACAAGAGCGCAGCTTGTTTCACAGTCGATCTGTTAGATGCCAAGTACAAAATAATAATGTCGACTTGAATTCAGCGTTTTGATATAAACATGTTTTCAGACTGCCTGCATCTTTGTTGATCAGTCAATCACTAACAGTTGTTTTCCACCCAGAGAGGGAGGGCCTTGAGCGTTCATGTGTACCTGAGGATATTTTGAGACTCTTTTATGTGTGTGAGAAGTGTGGAGGTGGTTGTGCTTGGTGAGATTGCTGTCAATCTATTAACGTAGACAAAAATCAATGCAGTTGAGTTTTATGAATGTTTTTAAAGTGTCAAGCTGTCATAAAAACCATAATTTGGCATTTCCAAAAGGTTTGATGTTTTTACACTGTAACTATTTTCCAAAAACAACACATTACAACCATCAGACCTGTATTTTTGTCTCTCTAGGCAGAATCTGGTTGTGGAGGGTGAACGCTATCCCATAATTCTCAACACCCACTTCAGTCAGAATGTCTGCGAAGAGACTAAGCCAGATAACGGAGGCGGTCCGAGAGCCGCGGTCGCTGTGGAGAAATGCAGACCTCCGCCATTAACCAGGAGCCTGTGGAGGTCAGGGACGAGCCAAGTGTCAACCGAGACATCCATTCCCTGTAAACAGGTTCGTCAGCTGTCCTCTCTCATGTGATCACGGGAAGGAAACGGAGATTCCCAGAAGTGTGACGGTCTATGTTAGATTTCGAATTCGGCCACACATAAAAATGTGTGAAAGTGCCATTGGAATGGAGACAGCTGCCGTTTCCTGTGTGACACTCATGAGCGCAAATGATTTATGAGGGATGTTTTTATGCATAAATATTTGCTTTAGTGTGAAAGCGAAGCCAAATTTTCCTGTTCGACAAGACCCTGGCGTAACAAATTATTTTTATAAAAAACATTTGATAAATGAGGCTTTGCGCTTTCCCTCTGTTATTGTACTACTCAAAATAAGCAGTGCAGTTTTGTCCATACAGAGTCTGTGTTGGGTGTAAACACATAAAGTGTTAGCCACAGTTTTCAAAATACAGAGTAACTATCATCTGCTACTCTGAGATCTTTTTGAGGTCTTATCAAAAATGTGAGCATACAAACAAAACGCAAAGGGAAATTCCACCTAAAATGTATATTTTATTTTGTCATAATTTACTTACCGTTATCTTGTGTTTTTGTCGATAGAATAAAAGTCTGTGGGCTGCAATGTTGTGTGGTTTCCTATTTGAATATAGTTTAAAATATAATTTATTCCTGTGATCAAAGCTGTATTTTCAGCATCATTACTCCAGTCTTCAGTGTCACATGATTCAGAAATCATTCTAATATGCCACATTCTAATTTCTTGATGCTCAAGAAACATTTGTTATTATCAATGTTTAAAACAGTGCTGCCTAATATTTTTGTGGGAACCTTGATTTTTCTCCCCCAAGATTCTTTTTTGAGTAGAAAGTTCAAAAGAACAGCATTTATTTGAAATCTTTTGTAACATTATAAATGTCCTAACTGTCACTTTTGATCAATTTAATTCATACTTGCTGAATAAAAGTATAAATTTCTTAAAAATAAATCTTAATAAACTTTTGAACAGTAGTGTAAATGTTTTTTAGTTAAATTCCACTCGTTAGCTGCTAAGAGTGTTGTGATTTAGTGGTTAAGGCTGTTTGGTTTGGTCCTTCAAGGGCCATCACTGACTACGTTTACATGGACATCAGTAATCTAATTATTTACCTTATTCTAAATAAGCCAATCTTATGATTATGGTGTTTACATGAGTTGCTTTTAGAATATTCCTTTTGGAAAATGTTGTGATCTGAGACTGTTTTGTGATCTGAGACTGTTCTGAGACTGAGATTGTTCTGAATTCACAGTTTCTACCACAAGTAAAGCCAAGTGCTAAGCCATCACTGACTACGTTTACATGGACATCAGTAATCTAATTATTTACCTTATTCTAAATAAGCCAATCTTATGATTATGGTGTTTACATGAGTTGCTTTTAGAATATTCCTTTCATGTTCCCGTTTTACATGTTATAGTACATAGTTCGGTTAATGGCCCACGTCATTACGTCCCACGTGACGCCATCCGACGTCCCCTCCGGAATTTCACGTATAAACATAGGTTGTCTTCGTGATGATGCCATGTACAGTTTTGGGTGTTTCATTTTTAATTTTATGAAAGCTTCAAGTGCAGATAATTATTTGTACATGCATACAGACGACGGCGGGTGTTGAAGCTCTTTTATTTGCCGTCAAACGGTTGAGCACTGCCGTGTGTGTATCCTGTCGCAAAATGTGGCGAAAAGTCCTACACGACGGTAATAATGTTATTAAAGGGATAGTTCACCCAAAAAATAAAATTTTATGTTTATCTGCTTACCCCCAGGGCATCCAAGATGTAGGTGACTTTGTTTCTTCAGTAGAACACAAACGAAGATTTTTAACACAAACCATTGCAGTCGGTCAGTCTTATAATGGAGGTGGATGAGACTCACGCCTTTGAGAGTAAAAAAAAAAACACACAAACAAAACCAAATTAAACCCTGCTCACGCAAAGAAAGAAGGCGTAACTTTTATTCTCGCTGTTGTATTGTTGTTGCCGCCGCCATGTCGTGAGGGCGCTGTGTGTTTCGTTGTGAAAGCGAAACTACTTTGTTTGGCCTTCCAAAAGAGGACGATATCTGCTTCGTCATGCCTAGAGCTGATCCGTGCTGGTCGCTGAGGAAATACTTCAACTTCGTGCTGTGGATCGCCGGATCGACTTTCACTGTGGAGTCCAGCCCGGGATCGTCACATGTGGTGGCCGCAGGCATCACAATATGGCAAGGGGCGTAACATTTCCGTCACACGCTTGAGGAATTCGGCAAATCACAACGCACTGGATAGCTGGCCAATCAGAGCACACCTCGCTTTTTCAGACCGATAAGCTTTGTAAAAATTGACGCGTTTCAGAAAGGCGGGGCATAGAGGAGAAACAATAATGTACAGTATGTGGAAAATAATGTGTTTTTTGAACCTTAAACCGCATAAACATTATTACACCAAATACACAAAATAATGTTCTTTTTAGCAGCATCATATGACCCCTTTAATTCGATTTCTGTTTACTTCGATTATGACTTTCGGTATGACCGGATTAAGGTAATCAAAAATCTCTGTTTACATGGTAGATTCTTAATCAGAGTATTGCCTTAATCATAATGTCTTAATGTAAACGTACTGAATGAGAGAAACGGTAAACCATTCATTTTCTGTAAGAGTTGCCGATTTGAGGTGACAGGTGACACTGACTTAATAAATTGGTGGTGGTGGTCATATTGTGTAAAAGTCATAAAAACAATTTCTACTGGTGTGGTTTGGAAAAAATAAAATGCCAATGTTTCCATTTTTCCATCCTCAGGTTGGTGAGTTGAACAGACGAGGAGTTCGGAAGTCTCTGCTGGACGCAGTGGAGGATTGTGGGTCGTCGGGCTCTCAGAGCGGTCCTGTTGAGGTGGTCGTTCAGAGGGTCTACTGCATACCCATCACCCAGTCCCTTCACAGAGCTTCTCTCCAGCACAGAGCACTGGACAGACCTCCATCAGAATCAGCACCACCGCAACACATCGACAGGTACTGGACCTCTGTTTCATTTCTCTGGTTTGAATAACATTGTTACATTGGAGAAAAAAAACGGAAAAGTCCTGTATACTGTTGCAGCTTGCAAATATTTTCTAAAACAAACAAACACACATAAAAAACTGTTTTGGTCAAAGATCTTCTAAAATTCTTGAAGAAATGTGTGTTGTTTAATAAATATATTTAAATAAATGTATACACTACTGTTCAAAAGTTTGGGGTTGGTAGGTCTCTTCTGCTCACCTTGGCTGCATTTATTTGATTGCATTTGTAAAAACAGTAATATTGCAAAATATTATTGCAATTAAATTTTTTTCATTTTTTTTTCTATTTTAATATAATGTAATTCATTCCAACAGCATTTATTTGAAATATAAATATTTTTAACATTATAAATGTCTTAACTCTCACTTCTAATCAATTTCTTTTCTTTAAAAAATACTTTCTGACCCCAAACTTTTGAACAGTAGTGAGTACATGCACACAATATGCATTATATATTTTTCGGTTCCTTCTTTTTTAAAATTCAAGTTTATTTGTAAGCGTATAGCTCTTTTTTTCACAATACATATCAAAGCATTTCAAAGCAGCTTTACATACTATCATTTTAATACTTTAAAACGTGCTTTTTTTTTTGCATTTTCCACTTTGTAACCGTTAGCAGTACAGAGGCTTGAGCTCTATGTAAATAAATACAACGTGCAGTTTATCAGCAACTCTCCTTATCCAGTAACCTGCCAAACTAGTTTAACAATCCAGATACCAGTTAGATCTCAACCTTTACTCTAATTTGCTTCTAATAAAATATATGTGAATTGATTGGGAATGTACTTGAGGTTATAGTTAAATACAATAATAGGTATGACAGATCCAAATCACACAGAATAAACATCAGTAGTTCTAGAATGTGCTTCGTCAGTCTGAGACGGTGCATCTTTGTACGTATTTTACGAGATGTGTTGTGTGTTTGCGGTATACTTAGGCCATTGTCTGTTCTGAACCCCACTGTTAAAGCTCCAAGAGGTCAGTCTCCTCATGGAATGATAAATGGTGAGAGAGAGCAACTTTGCTCCATATTCTGTCAATGACTAACCAAACAACCCCTCCCAGTACACAGAGTCCTCTCTCTATCTCTCTATATTTCTTTCTCTGCCTCACGCAGTTCTCTCGGCCATATGGTAAAACTCTACAAACATCTCTAATTGAGCCCAGCAGTGTCAGTGATCCATAGCCACATGCTTCTCAGAAAAAAGGAAATAAAGGACAGAAAGTAAGAGTGAGAATGTGCCTTGTAAGAAAAAAAATGTTCAAAATATGGCCCTAAACCAAGAGCGTAAATTAAATCTTTTGAAAACTTCCATGTTTACCTGTGCAAGTCACAGCCATGACCCAAGAGCGGTTGCCAGGGTGTTGCTATGCAGTCGCTGTAGTGATTGTTTTTTTGTTTGTTTTTTGCACAGGTGTTGTTTGTTGCTTTGCTGTTAAAAGTGTTATATGGGTGTTGCTATTCAGTTGTTATAGTGCTCTGTTTTTTGTAGCACGTTGCTGTGCAGTTGCTATGGTGTTTTGAGTGGTTTAAGTATGTTGTTAAGGTGTTTTGAAAGTTGTTTTACACGTTGCAAAGGTGTTTTGAGAGTTTTTTGCATGTTGCTAAAGTGTTGAGATTTATTTTGTACGTTGCTGTTTTGAGAGATTTTTTCCCCCTGTTGCTAAGGTCTTGCCAGTTTTTTTACATGTTGCTAAGGTGTTTTGAGTGATTTTAGCATGTTGCTGTGCAACTTAAAATGTGTTTTGAGAATTTTTTGTATGTTGTTAAAGTGTTGAGTTTTTTTTTTTTGCACGTTGCTATGCAGTTGCTAAGGTGCTTTAAAGGTGCAATAGGTGATTGCCTTCAGAAACATTTTTTGTTATGCTGGTTTCTTCAATTCCCGATAGCAATCATTAAGTTAAGTGGTCTAAATGTATTTATCTGTATTTATATATTCTGTGGAAGGTGTAGGACCAAGAAATGTTCGTCCAATCAAAATGTTCGGTCCGAGTGTTTTAATTAGCTTTCCTACCTGCCTGTCAACGTATGTATTAGCATACCTCTGTGCACCCGCCTTGCGCAGACAGGATACGTCATCAGCGCGTTCACGCATACTGTGCAGACAGCGCGAGAATGGCAGACAAACATCAACAGCCCAATCTTCCTTCATGGTACTGTAGTACTTTTAAAGTTTTCTCACCGGTGAATGACACATGATGTAGCCCAGCGGTTCCCAATTCCAGTCCTCGCGCCGCCCGCTCTGCATATTTTGCATGTCTCGCTTAGTTAACACACCCGATTCAGATAACCAGCTCGTTAGAAGTGAGCTGCGTGCATGAACTGTGTTCCAATCGATATGATCCCTACACCGTGTTCATTGCTCCCTCCTCCCTGAGCAGGGGAAATCCGTTGACGTTTACTTCACTTTGGAACATGGGCTGGAATTGGGAACTGCTGATGTAGCCTATTGTAGTAATGTTGTCTCTGGTATTCTGATCTGTAAGCGTATATGCGTTCAGGGGGCGTGGCTTTGGACGGCGATTGCAAGGAGGGTGGGACGTTGGCTTTCAGTGCTATCAGGCTAAAGTTAGCATTTTCCAAGATCTCCTACTGCACCTTTAAGTGGCTGTTAGTATGTAATTATGCAGTTGCTAAGGTCTGGTTTTAACGCTTTAACTTGCTATGCAGTTGCTAAGGTGTTTTCAATCATTTTAGCATGTTACTATGCAGTTGCTTAGTTGTTACTTGTTACAAGTGTGCTGCACATTTCTGAAAAGTGAAGCCAAAATATTTTGTTCACCCCCTGGTGGCTGACCGCCCTCTCCATGTCAACGAACAGTATGTAAGCCAGACTAGATGGTTTCTGTCCTTTTAGGTAGTTCTTATCACTCTGATGTATGTTCAAGTGGTAGGTTTTCTTTATTTTGCTTTTAGTTGTCATGATTGGGTGCTTGCGATTGGGTCTGCGGGAGTTTGGGCAAGACTTTGATACCGCAGCTCCAGCTCATGAATGCTACTGCTCAGACTCAGGCTCCAAATGAACCATTATTGCGCTGACTCTGGCTCTAAATGAACCACTACTTCGCGGATTCGGGCTCCAAATGAATCACTACTGTGCAGACTTGGACTCCAAAAGATTCACTACTACGTGGACTCTGGCTCCAAATGAATCACTACTGCTCGGGCTCCAAATGAATCACTACTGCTCAGACTCAGGCTCCAAATTAATCACTACTGCGCGAACTCTGGCTCCAAATAAATCACTACTGTGTGGACTCGGGCTCCAAATTAATCACTACTGTGCAGACTCTGACTCCAAAAGATTCACTACTGTACAGACTCAGGCTCCAAAAGATTCACTACTGCACAGACTCGGGCTCCAAATGAATCACTACTGCTCAGACTCAGGCTCCAAATTAATCACTACTGCGCGAACTCTGGCTCCAAATAAATCACTACTGTGTGGACTCGGGCTCCAAATTAATCACTACTGTGCAGACTCTGACTCCAAAAGATTCACTACTGTACAGACTCAGGCTCCAAAAGATTCACTACTGCACAGACTCGGGCTCCAAATGAATCACTACTGCGCAGACTCAGACATGGGGGACATTTTAGCTTCACATTTCTACAGTGGAAGAAAGCAGAGACACGGAGACACATCTTTTTTTTAAGTCTATGCTTGTTACTAATGCTGGGTACACACCACAAGATAATGGGGCTGATTTTGGGCCGATTTCTCCCCTTCCGACAATCCTAGGTAATGTCCCGATTATCTTGGTGGTTCTAAAGATTATCTTATCAGATTTTCCTGTGGTGTGAGGTGTGTTAAGAGTGACTGAATATGCTTGGAAGAACATCGGAGGCGCCCCGATCGCGAATCATAAATATTCAACATGTTGAATATTTACAATCAGAAATCCTGATGTGTGGGGGAACATCGCGGCACACCACACACTATAGGAGCAAAACGGTTAAATCTAGGATTTTTTGTCCTCATGTTTGTGGTCTCTCACATTTTGAAGATCTTATAAGATTTTAAAAATATTTTAGTGTGTACCCAGCATTACTGTGCTGTTGCTAGGTGGTTACTTTCTGGCCCAATTTGAAAGAACTCTCTCCAAAGTTTCTGTTCTTCAATGTTTCAGTTTTCAATTTTATTAGATTTTTTTGCCTGTTCTATCATCACCAGGAGAAAATGAGTTGTTTGATAATTTGAATTCTTTTTAAACTGAATCCATCAATTTAAATGGAAATGCTGTGTATCAATGACATACAGAGAAAGTGTAATGGTTAGTGAGAGTTAGTTGAGAACATTCATCTTTTTCTTCAACAAATGGTCATGTAGGCATCTGTTGACTAATGAGAATATTAAGCAGGTTCAGCTGTTCCTTCATAAATAAAATTAATTATATTCCTACTTGATTTCAAAGTGACACATGGGGGTGTGCGATATTGACAAAAAAAAATAAAAAACAATGTTTTTGCTGAGTGTGTTTTTAAAACTGCCAGTAGGTGGTGACAAGTGCCTGACTTAATGAGTGATTCATTAAATCGTTCATTCAAACAGTTTGTTAAAAATGACATTTAGAAATGATGCAAGTGATTGTCTTTATGAATGGATAATTGAATTACTGACTCAAATGATTCATTCAAAAACAGAATCGTTCAGGAACGAAACGCCGCAGTGTTTCTCTGAGATACACAAATGTTCCACTCCAGCTTTTTGTTGAACTATTTTCATTGGTGAAACAGAAAAAAAATACAATATTGTGTCTAAAATGTAACTCACTCAATATTAACTTTGTTGTTGTTGTTGTTGTACTGTTAAAGGGGTCATATGATGCTTTTTTAAAGATCATTATTTTGTGTATTTGGTGTAACAGAATATGTTGACATGCTTTAATGTTCAAAAAACACATTATTTTTCAAATACTGTACATTATTGTAGGTCCTCTATGCCCCA